CGGCGGGACCGCAGGGCGTTGCCCAGGTGCCCGGCCGTGCGGCTGGGACAGGCTCTCGGGCCGGGTCCTGGCTCCGCTGCCGTGCCCTTTCAGGCCCGCAGCCATCGGACGGGCCCTGCTCACCTCCAGACTCGCCCTTTGGCTGTTTTACTACTCCCCGCTTCGGTGCTCTCTCCCTGAGGGAGCGTTGCCGTTGACGCCACTCCTTGCGATGGCGTCGGGTGAGTCCAGAGGCAAGTCGGAGGCGGTCACGTTAAACAATGGAGCGTGTTACATGACCTTGGATTTTTTTCTAGTCAGTCCAACACGCTGTTTGATGGAAGACCAGACTTAACAAATGGCAGGCAGGCATGTCAAAGCAGCCTTGTTGACCTGATAAAGGTAAAAAAGACATAGACCAGCTGACATCGCAGACATCTCCAGGGACATGAGCTGCAAGCAGCAGTGAAAGTTTCCTATCTAGGATATTAGAATTTTAGAGCTGCTTCTGGGTGAGGCGGAAAGCCTCATGTGAAAACCTTTTTTTTTTTAAAGTTAATGTGATTTAGAATGATATGGCCAGCATTCCTCAAAAAGAGAGGTGTGTAATGCACAGATGTGGTGAACAAACGTGTCTTAGTCTGAAATTAATACCTGGGGGGAAGATCTGCTGTCACTAGGGGAATGAAAGTCCAGTGATGATTTGAAGTAGAAACATCTGTGTGGGGACAGTGGGGTAGTGGAAGCGCTAAAGGCATCAGCTTTACATGGATCATTTCTGTTCCTTTGGGAATCTGGAGGAGAGTGAGTGTTACAGAGAACAAAAGAGCAAGGAATCCAATATGTCAGTATGGTGCCCAGAAATCTGAAACAGGATTAAATGGTGAAGGTTGGTGGTCCTGCACTCACACTGGTTTGAACGATAACAGAGAATCCTCCCTAGGGTTTGTTGTGTGTACCTGCTTTGGGTGAATATTTGTTGAAACAAAACTGTCCTTGTCCTACTCTTTGTTGAGATAACTCTTGCATAAGATGATGACACATCAGTGAGTAGTTATTTTGTGTTTCTCATGGTGAACAGGAACTGCCTAGGGAAAAACCACAGGCTTAAATTTCTGGGTTGACCCCACCTTTCCATTTTACTGTTGGTGACCTGCTCAATTCATTCCCTTCCAGTACTTTCCATGTGAAAAATTTCTCCTCTCTTACAAGGTAGCAAGCATCAATCTCTTCCTTGCCTCTTTCTTGCTTCTGTCCTTACTACTCGGATGATCTTCTGCATGGGGTCTTGTGGTTTAACAGGAGTTCATAGCTGTAGTTTGAGGATCTGCTTTATAGTCTCCTCTGTAGCAGACAACTGATTGAGGCCTGAGGTGGTGTGTCATCAGAGCTGAACCCATTGCCCAAATGACTGGGAGTCTTCAGCCTTTCTCTCCCCCCACCCACTTTTTAGTTTAGCTTGCTTTATTGCAAATGCCACTGCGGGAGGAGGAGGAGGAGCATTTTAGTGTTTGTCTTCGGTTTTCATCATCTAATTGGCAACAAATTTGTCCACAAGTTGAGTCTGTTTTGCCTATGACCATAATTGGTAAGCAATTTCCTTGTCTTTATCTCGACCTATGAGCCTTGTATTTTATTTCTTCCCTGTGTTCTGCTGAGGGTGGGCAGTGGGAGAGCCTGGATGGGTGTCTGGCAGCTGGCCAGCCAAGTTAAGCCCACTCCAGCAGTTAAAAAAGATGCCCCAGATTTTGAAGCAGCAGGATCTGTACTTTGCTCTGAAATTCATATCCCAAGCTGCCTGTTTCATAATTCTGTGATTATTGGTACAGTGGTTTATATGATTACTGCTTTGTTAAACAAAGCCAAAACAAGAACAAGGACAGTTCATTTGGCTTAGGTGGAGAAGTAAAGAGTAAGGCCTTTCAGCAAATCATCTACTACTAGCATGTGATTTAAACAGTGTGGACATAGCAGTATACTTGGAACTTAAATAATTTTTGTTATGTGTCTGAGTTTTATTTCCAGTGTTTGACTTCTAATGATTCTACTGCTATATTTTCACAAGGAAGAAGAATTTAAATGGCTTTTACAAGAAGAGGTCCATGCTGTTTTGAAACAGCTGCAGGATATTTTGAAGGTAAAGTTAATTTGCTTTTTGTTTTGTGGGTTGGTTTGCTCTTCCATGTGAGGAAAGGTGGTAGATTTCTCCTTGAGGAAAAAATTCTTGGTAGAGGGTGAATAGAAAGGTCCATCACTCATGTCCAGTGTTTCCCAAGTGTTTGTTTGCCCTCTGGTCTTAAGAATTCATAATAAAGCTGATTTCCTCTAGATAACTCTGTTCTTGACTCTATTCTCTTTGCTGAGAACTGTTTTGGAAAGGATGTGGAGGCAGACAGACCTGTCTGCCAGGCATTTTCCTGAGAAGTGAATATTTTCTGGAACAGAGAATCTGGATCTGCCTGTAACTCTTACCATGTGAAGGCAGAAATGAGCACAATAGCCTTTAGCTGACAAGCTAATACTCGTGCAGTAATTAGTAGATGCACTCTCCTCATTCAAAACCATCCTTCCCTTGATATACCCACTTCTCTGATGGCACCTGTCCCTTTCAGAGGCGTGAAGTGTTCAGCTGAACCAGGCCTGCAGCACCTTTTGCCAGCCTGAGTGTGGGCTGCTGGCTTCAGCTCTTTTCAGGCAGCCAGGCAGTGAACCAGCCAAAGGGGATTGTGTGCTTGTGTGCAAGCTTTCCTGCTAGGTTAGTTTTCCACAGGCCCAGCCCCTAAACAGGTTTTGGTGGGGCTTAGTGGGTGATGCAAGAGTGGGGGCAAAAATGTGGAGGTGAAGGGTTGGGTGCCAGAGGAGGTGGGAGTGCCATGGTGCTGACCCAGGATGTGACTCACTGCAGGTTGTTGTTACCTGCTGCTATCTGGATATATAGTATCTGTTTTGAAGAATTCATTACAGTTTTGAGGTTGATTAAAGGACAGTCATCAGCCAGTATAACCAGTTAGGAGGTCTGGTTTTCACTTGTGGATAAGAGACTCATTGGGGGGGGGGGCGGCAGTGAGTGTGCTGGGAAAGGGGGAGTAGGACAGTGCCTGGGGGCATGCAGGGCCGGGCTCTGTGGAGTGCCCCTGCTGCTGCAGTCAGCTTGGCAACCCCACCTTGCCTGGCTCTGGAGCACAGGATTTCCCATGCCTTTAGCTATGAGCCATCTCAGGCTATGCCTGTCCTACAGGAGGATGAGGGAAAATCTGTGTGCTCTGTTGGTGGGTTGCAGGAGGCTTGCAAAGGTGACCACTCTGCATTTGGCCACTTGCCAGTGTCTGCATTTCTGCTTTCACCTTGTCTTTGTTCCTGGCCTGTGGTGGGCTGGGCGGGGGTGGAGGCTGTAGCACTCACTGTGTGCTCTCTTGGGCAGGAGGCTTCTCAGCGGTTTGCGCTGCCCGCCAGCGGCTCGGCAGGAGCCCTCAAGCAGCAGAACTTTGCGTTGAGCACGTCAGGGTAAGTGGTTGTGGCAGTCGGGGGGTCGCTGCTGCTCTGCCAGGCCGTGCCAGTGGGGGCTGCCACCCCTGGCTATGCCCGTGTTTGTGCCGGGGGCTTCCCTCTGGGGCAATGGGCTGTCCCTTGGGCACCTGCGGCCAAGGTCTCTACAGCACCCCCAGAGCGAAGGGGTTCTCTTTAATACGAGATTGCACCTTAAGAAAAACAAGCAAACTCCTATGTCAGCTTAATGTAACAGTCTGTAGCCAAGTTCCAGGGCTTGCCTTAGCCAGACTTGTGCTGTTTCCTGCTGACACCTATAATATGCTCATCGATTCCCAACCACATGCTGGTGTGTTACGTCAGTGTGCTACTGTCAGCAGTTTTGCCAGGGGGCATATTTTTGATTATGGGCACAGGGATTTGCAATTACAAGACCTGCTCTTGGCTCAGTTTTTGACTCTGACCATGGATGAATCTTAACCTTTGTCCTAATCTCCCTAAAATAGCAGTAATAAATCTGCCTGGCACAGAGCAAACTGAGACCTGTGCAGAAAGTGCTATAGCAGTGCATTTCTGAAATAGATGTACATTTTTTGATCTTTAGCATCACCCTCAGTCTTGAATAGTTGCACTCTGGCAGAGGTCACAAGCTTATTGCAAAGTAGGAGACCTTGGTCCTTAGAAACAGCATGGTGAGCATTTTATAGAATGATGCAATGATTCTCTATCAGGTTTGAAGCTTGCATTCTTCAGATGTTAAAGTATACAGTTGATTCTAGTTTTCATTCATTGTTGCAAGGTAGATCTTCAAAAGTGTTATATCTAAAGAGTTTGTCTAATGTATTGAAATATAAAGTGTTGCTAAACTGAGTTCTTGAAGGCCTGGGTGCTTGAGTCTTCCCCCACTGTTCATTGTAGATGTGAGCCATCTTACAGGACCTTTTAAAGGGTTTGGGGTGTTTTTTTTTTTCTTGTTGAGGAGAACAAGGTGGGTTTGTAGTTTTCAAGTCCCATATGAACCATGTAGAACTCCAATGTCATGAATTCATCTAATATCTTATGTTTGTGCTTGCTAGAGCTGTTTGTAACAGCAACCAAAGTGTTGATAAGTAATATGTGAAATAAGCATGGGATAAGAAATGAATGCAATGTCTTAGGTAGGGCAGTTAGGGTGAGGTGGCTTATAAATAATAGGACAGCAGCTGGCCACAGGCCAAGAACTGGGACTTGAAAGTGTATGTGGAGTTCATCTGCATCCCCCAGGTGACCCCTGGAAGGAAGGGGATGTGGCTAGCTAAATGGGACAGGGAGGGGCGGTGTCAGGTTGGCAGTTTCAATAGGTGTCTCTTGCCTCATGTGACTGGTGTTGCCCAGATCCTCCTTCTTATTCCAGCACAGACCAGGTGAAAGGTGTGTTGACACTGCAGGGAGATGCCCTGTGTCAAGCTGTGAGTACTTGCTCTGCTTCTTGCTTTCTAATACCATCAAGGGGTGGGAGTCATCCTTATTACACTTTGATAACCTCAAGAAAGAGGTCATCCTTACCATGCTTTACCAGTGATTGATAAATATGCTTTGTCAGTCTTCTCTAATAGCACTTAAAACCTTAACATTTTAGCAACTGTTGAAATTTGTCAGCAGCTAACCCTCACCCCCCAACACACACACAGCTGTGGTGAGTGGTGGAGTAGACTTTTATGAGGATTCCTTGCTTTTACTGCCTTTGTTGTGTAATACCTTTATTGTGTAATTTCCTTGGGGGCCTTCTGAGATGAGGTCATGTGTCCTGCCTGGATCCCAATTCGCGAAATGCCTATCAACTTATCCTTTGTATTAACACCTTCCTGTAGGAAGACCAAAGTTCTGGCCATGCCAGAGCTGCTGAAAGAAGCTTGCCAAGACAGTCTGGGAGACAGAATTAAGTGGGACTGGCAGTCTCTATGTTCTGCATAGGGAGGCGTGCTTGGTCTCATATGTTTGTTTCTTTCTTCAAGGATGTTAACCTGAAAATTCCCAGAAATAATCAGCTCCTGCACTTTGCATTTCGGGAAGACAAGCAGTGGAAGTTGCAGCAGGTACTGTTAATTTTAGATGCCTACCCCTCTCTAGTATCTGCACCCTCCAAGCAGTAGCTGTAGCTCCTCGCTTTCCAAGAGAGAAGGTTATATCTATCCCACATTAGCTCCAGTGGTAAAAGCTAAGGGAGGAAACAGTTGTAGTTAAATTCAGCTGTGGTGCTAGGAGAGAAAGGTGGGTTCTGCTTGTTCCTGAAGCCAGTGAGCTGAAGGCTGTCTGCATAGCAGTCATAATCCTTTAAAAGGAGTGCCTAGGGTGCCTGTGCACTTACTAACCTTGTGCCTCCTTGTAAAACCCAGGCTAGCAGGGTAAAGAACAACTTCAGAGGATTTGAGTAGCTTGCTGTCAGTGTCTTAGGGAAGCATTTCTTTATGCTGAGAACAAATTTCACTGCATTGTGCTCTTGTAGCACTGAGTTCCCTCAGTTAAGGAGTTAAAGGGTTGAGGCTGTCCAGAACATTGAATCTCTTTCCCATCATTTTGCTGGGAGATAGCTCATTTCAGGACCTGATCTAGTGCCTGATCTTGAAGACATAGTTTCCCACAGTTACTTTGTTATAGCTGAGTAGGTTGGAGAAGGGTGTATTCCATGTGCTGCACTGCTCCATGGCTCAGACCATGGAGCATTTGGTCCATGGCATTTGGTCTTGAGTGCAGTTTCCAATGCCTTATTTGGCAGCAGGGAGAAAGCTCTACCTGGTAACTGTGTAGAAATCTAGAAAATTGTGTATTTGAGATGTTAATGCTAAACTTGACTGAGTTTATTTGTGCCTTGCAACAAGGAAAGGAAGATGTTGTGATGCTATTTTGTGGGTGTTTTGTGCTGCTGCCTGGTTGATAATCTTCTACCAGCTTTTATGGAAAATACCTTCCTCTGTTTACTTGGAAGAGCTTTATGTTCTAGTGTTGTTCAGATGTAGAATGTGAGTGCCTAAAGAACTGTGAGCAGAAGCATTTACAGTGATTATTTAAGAAGATTGCAGTGATTATACAGAAGATTTATAGGAGATCTTTGTCCTGTCTGAATTAAAAATGAGCATCTCAAAGTATTGTTTGTTCCCTTAGTGAGTGGTGCCAGATGGAGTTTTGTTTCTGTGCAAAGTAAAGTCATGGGTAAGAAGTTGTAGTATGGCACATTTTTGGGGAACGCAGGTGCAGGCACACAAGTTTTGAGGAATTTGATTAGAAAACAGCAAAATCAAGGGGGAAGAGGAATGAAACAAGTTCTTATAATAGCAGGATTGGCATTGCTGGGTTGGGTAATGCTGCCAGGGTAACTTAGCTTGCTTGAAATCATCTGGAAGATGTAAAGGCTGGAGGTGGTGATATTTGGAGATGTCATAGCCCAAGTACCTGCAGAATCTCTCTGCAGTCTGACAGTGGACTTTATAACCTCTCTCTTCTTCCTGTAGCCTCCAGTGCCTTGTGCTTTCTAAGAGCAGAACTATTCTGTGATCCTTGAGCTCTGGATAAGAAGGAACTATAGCCCAGATCTGTGCCACAGAGGTCTCTACAAGGCTGAGCTGGGATCTGGGGTTGCTGGGGAGCAATGAAGGATGTATCAAACTACTAATTTCCCAAGCTGTGTTATCCATCTCCCATCAGCTACCTCTCATACAGTCTTCCCTTTTCCATTTATTGCACCCTCTGATTTACCCCTTCCTTTTTTTTTCAATTTTCCTGCTGCTGCCTGGAACCGACCAGTTACTTTCTCACAGGGCCATCTTCCTCTGGTTTGTCCTTGCTCCCATAAAAGCACTGGGATATAGCTATCAGCCTTGCTTTGATAATTGTCTCCTGGCTGCAAGCAGTCTTGCTTAAGAGGGACTTAAGCTAGCTGTGTCCTGAGTGTGGTGAAGTTCCAGACAAGCAGTGTGATGGCAACTTCTTCATGCTGGAGATAGCTCTCAGCCACAACAATTATAGTTTAGAAGGACTTTGGAATACTGCCAGAGATGCTGTATTTTTTGTTGCTATTGATGTAATTTACATCATTGGTTTTAGCTCTTGATAGTTCCTAAGGAAGAAATCATTATTTGTGTTGCTAGACCTGACTACCATATACCATCAACAGTGAGGCAGTTGTGATCACAGTCCTCCCAGGATGAGAGTGCCTGATATTGCTGTTCTTTCAGGGCAGCAGCAATATCTTAATTGGCAGTTCAGGTTATAGCGATCAGACTGCTTTGCATCTCCAGTCCCTGAGTGAAGAACCCAATAATGCATCTGGGCAGCAGTGGTAGTTTTGTGTTAGCGAGTGTCTGGTACTCAGAGAAATGTCCTTAACATTTGAGAAGTGAGCATTTTCCTAGGGCCAACAAAATAATGAGGGAAACCTCTACTTCCTAGTGTGTATTATAAAGAGTGTGTCATTAATAGGGCTGCATTTGTACCTTTGCAGATCCAGGATGCTAGAAACCATGTTAACCAAGCCATTTACCTGCTTATGAACAGAGATGTAAACTACCAGTTCAAAACAGGCTCGGAGGTTCTCAAGGTGAGGAGAAAGCCCTCTCTACTTGAGTAGGAACATGCATTTTTCTTCCCTCCATTTGTTGTTTTAAATAGTTAATGAACATTATTGTCTTGAGTCTCTTAATGGAAAAATTGTACCCATATGTACCTATTTCAAGGAGTGTCCATGTGACCTCATATTTGATATGAATCTATACCAGTTTAGCATCAGTAACAGGGTTGTACATCACGATGAACAGTAATCTGAGCAGTCGGTGCCCTGCTGCACAGCAGTGATATTCTGTGAGTGCCTTCTTTGATCTTTTTCAGATGATGCAGTTACAGAGCTCATGCTTTTTGCTGTCAGTCAGTGCTTTTGGTGAGAGCAGAAATGAAGCAGTCATCAACAAACAAAAGATTACAGTTAGTACTCATGATTTAGTGATGGTTTGAAAGTGACTTCTTGCTTGCTAGTAGTAGCTGATGCAGTCTGATACAGACCAGTTGTTACTTGGAAATGTGCTCTGAAACTATCAGAGTTTTGACTTACTCGTTAGAATCCATCACAGTATCAAAGAAGAGAAAGCTAAACTTTTTTATTCTCTGCATTGCAAGGGCTGCTAATAGGAAGAAGTTAGGTAATAAAACTATTTCCTTTTTACTTTTGTATGGAAGTAGGGGGTAGAAATTAGTCATAATATAAAATGCCTTCATCTTAGGAGTCATGAGCTCTATAACAGACATAAGTTGGTTCCCACTTTTTTTCTGGAAGAGGAAGTCTGCCTGAATAGAGGCTCTGAACTGTGGTTTCTGGCAGGATTGGACTCTCAGTGAGCTGGTTCTTTTCTTTAGTGCCCTAGCTCACAGGTTATGAATGAGAGGGCCCATTCTCTAGTTGTTGTACCCGTGATGTGGGAATGGGGAGAACTAGAACACAGCTTGTTGTTTTTCCTTAATGCCTGCTCTTCAGAAGAGCTGATGATGAGTTTGTTGATGCTTCTGTGGCATCAGTAATTGATCTCATGTTCTCTTCTTATTCTTATAATGAATAACTGTTCTCTCTTCAGTCCCTGGTATTAAATGCTCCTGGCGTGTCTCACAAGTGTCTGTGATTATGGTAACAGTTAAACTGCCACCCCTTCCCATTCCTGGAAGTGTGAGGGGGTGGTGATGCTGGTTGTCATAACACTTGCTAAATGCTCTAGGATTCTGCAGCACTCTGTCCAGAGCTGTCCAGGGATCACCACTCAGCAGTGTACATACCTTATCTTGTAGCTTATGGATGCTGTGATGTTACAGCTCTCAAGAGCCCGGAATCGGCTTACCACTCCAGCCACTCTGACTCTACCGGAGATTGCCTCCAGTGGTCTCACAGTAAGTATGTGGTGGTCTAGATCTCTGTACAGTCTGGCAGCGTGCAGCAATTGGGACATTGTGCTGCATCCTGGTGGAAATGGATTTCTGAAGTGTCTCCAGAGGCAGAGAGAGCTGAAGAAGTTGCAAACACTGAACGGTTTTGGCTGTTCTGTATCTTCCTGTGGGAAAGCAGATGACTTGGGCGTGAGGACTCTGGTTCTCAGAGAGTAAGTTGTGTTCTCTGCCCAGGAATCTTGCCCAGGGATGATTTGTCATTGTGAACATTGCTCTGTCCCCTCCTGTCACCATCGTGCACACACCATTTGATCAAGCATGAGGGGAACAACTATTGCTTGCAAGCTGCTCAGTCTTTGTTTCTTTTCTAATGTCCCTCTCACTGTGGGGTAACTAGTATGACTTAGAAAAAGGTAATTATTTCCCAGTACTAGAAATAATGGTCGTTTCACTGACAAAGAAACCACTTATTTTCTCACCAGAAAATGTTCACCCCTGCTCTGCCTCCAGACATCCTTGTGAATTTCTATATTAACCTGAACAAGCTGTGCCTGACTGTCTACCAACTCCATGTGCTGCAGCCCAGCACAACCAAGGTGATGCCTACTATCCTTGTTTATATACCTCTCCCTGTGTCCCACTGTAAGGAGGAGATCACACTGCTATATGGTGCAATGTTATATGCATAAGATAATGCAGAAACAACTGTAACTGGTGTTAAGTATCTGTGTTTAGATCTGCTGCAGACAGAACGCTGGCTCTAAATCTAGTTTGGGGCATGGCCACGTAGCCCAGAAGAAAATACCAGTGCTCTGGAGTAAGCCAGTAACTATTTTTTTGCCAAGTACTGCTTAATCTTACAATATAATGTGATAATTTTGCATAATTTTGGAAGGGCATAATTGTATTAATCCAGTTAACATTAAAGTAGCATCTTGGGTTTTCTGAATGGAGTTTTGATGGATACTTTTCTGCTTCACCTGTTGCATTTGGGTCAGCTTGATATCCTGTGAAACCAGAATTAAACTCTTTAGCTTTATGAAATGCAGTCCTTACATAAGGATACTTTTCCCAAAATCTATCTTTTGTTTTTCTTCTGGACCTTCTCATCTTATTTTTGTGGTGCTAAACTTTGGAGCTAAGTTGGACTCATCCACTGTGTAGAATTTTTTTTCATGGAGTAGCAGGAAGGGATCAAATGCCATGGATTGCATATGAATGGAGTATTCAGGCAGATACAGTATAGGCATTTCTTGATGTCAGGCTACTGAAAGTGCAAATCTTAAAACATCCTCCTTCTAAGGACTTTTGTTTACTGTATCAAATGCCTAATAACCTTTTCCTGCTCTTCCAGAACTTCAAGCCTGCTGGAGGGTCCATTTTACATAACCCTGGAGCCATGTTGTAAGTATAGTCACTACAAGGGCTGTGTAACAGGTGTAGGAGTACGCTGAGGATGAGATCCAAATGTCTGTACTAATTTTTGATTGTAGCATCTGTTAAGTGGAGAAGCTGGACTGAGTCACTTGCTGTGGCTGTGCCTGTGAAGGCACAGGTGCTCGTAATAGTGTTTCTTTAATGACTCAGTCATAAAGGCCCAAAGATGTGATTTCTCGGGATACAGCCCACACATACAGTGCCATGAGCTTGTCTGGAGATGGGAGTTGTCAGCCAAAATGAACATTAGGTTATTGGCATTGCTATCTGCATTTTCTGCCTCTCTACCTCCCTGGAAAGCATTGAAGTTTATATCTTAACCGTATTAGCTTAATTCTGAATCTCATCAGAGATAGACTGAGAGTTTACACTCTAACTTTACCAGGTGTTGTTTTAAATATAGTAGAAATCTTAGTGATCTCTTCCGTGAGAATGGAGGACAGTTGAGTTTTGTGTTCTGTGCTGTTGTGTGTAAATTTGTGCTCTTTTTTTTTCCCTACCCCAGTGAGTTTGGCAACCAGCGATATGAAGTCAGCCATGTCCATAAAGTGGAATGTGTTATACCATGGTTAAACGATGCCCTTGTCTTCTTCACAGTTTCACTGCAGCTTTGCCAGCAACTAAAGGACAAGGTAATAGCCTTAGAGAAGGGGCTTGGTTTTTAACTCTGGACTCTGAGAGGACCTCAGATCTAAAAATCTGATGTGATGTTATTCTGTACAGCTTACATATAAACTGAAAACAAACGATGAGTCAATGCTCTGGAGCCAGGGATGTGGCTGGCACTGCTGAGCAGGCAGCCATCTGGCATAAGTGTAGTAGGGTGGCAGATGTGTTTGCTGAACTAGTGACCTGATGGAGAGGAGCAGGTAGACACTTATGTTCTCTCAGTCATGAGCTGGATGTGAAGAGATGCCAGGGTGCTGGAGGGGAGGTATGGACACCTCAGCAAACTAGATTCCAGTAGTCCAGTGTTCAGTTCCAGCTCTGCAGCTGACCTGGGTGCACCTTGAGCAAGTAACTTTGTGTTCCGAGCCTCCTCAGTGACAATAGCAGCAAATCTGCCCTTGTGCGGTGCAGTGCTGGAGTGTGTAATGCTGTAAAGCTCAATCTTCACATGCCCATTACGTGCTCTTTCTTCTGTGGCCCAAAGGATACAGGAACTTAACCTGCTTTTCTTGCTTTCCAGATCTCTGTTTTCTCCAGTTACTGGAACTACAGGCCATATTAATTCTCTATGGAGTGTCCAAGCCCTTACAGCACTTCCAGTGTCTCCCTGTTTGTTTTCAACATGTCAGCTGAGTCCAGGTCAGCTTGAGGAGTGCTGCGCTTTACTACCAGGTGGCCCTCCATAGGTGAGGGTCAGCGTATCCAGAGACACAATTCTAGTAGCCTTGTCTGGGACCACTGTATAAGCAGGGCAACAAGCAATGCTGTGTGGTTAGTGAAAGCTTCTGCCTGTCTTTGTTCTCATATGTGTTGCGTGGCTTGCGATTCTTCAAGACTGGTGAATTACACTAGCCCGTTACAAGGGATGGGGAGCTGTGGGCTTCTCACACTAACACTATTTGCACACAGTGCTGTAACTAACTGCTGGACTGTGATCTGGCTGGGAAGGGATGAAAGCATACTGATTTAACACGCTACAAAATGTGTAGAGCATGTTGCTCCATGTAGTGAAATAATGTTGTTATGATCTAGTTCAGCTGTGGTTATGACTAGCACTGAGCTTCTCCCTCTTCTATCTGTTCTGTCCATGCCCATGTTATTGATTCCCCTTTGGGGTTATTCTTAATTGCTGCTCTTTGAACTCTTCTTTTTCCCTGGCATCAATGTGATAACACTTTTTTTCCTAAGCCAATTGGACCAACTGTTTTTTTTCAGGTTTAGTATCTAGTTTTCACTGCCAGCCTTTGGAGCTGCCTCAGTACCTTGAGCACAGCTATGCAGTCTCACATCCTGTCATTAAACCCAAAGTGAGTACCACATTGTTACTATTTGCTGCCTACCTATGGATGCTACAGTATGTAACTCATCCCTCTAGCCATTGATAATTGTAAAATAAAGATCCTCAGACCTGCCATTCTCCTGTGGGCTGTCAGTGCTGAGAATAAAAGAGTATCAAAGATGATATGCTCTTACAAGTGAGTGGCTGTTACTAGTTACGTGTGCTGGATTACTGTTTGCCTTACCTGGAGGACAGCAGTGGTCTCTATGGGCAGAGCTGGGAAGCTCTTTGAAGGCTGGGCCTGGTTTGTGTAGCCTCAGCTCAGTGCTGTCTGACACCCTGGTACTACCTGAAGTAATTTTCTAAACTTCCCTTGATGGTCATGTTTGGAAGAGGCTCTAGGTGCTGAGACTGGGTTGGGCTGGCTCGTGGAGCTGGCTGTTAAGTGATGAGTAAGCATCTCCTGTCTCCCGTTTGGCTCCAGCGAGCCCTGCCAAGCCTGTGTTTCTGGTGGCTTTCCTCTCTGGAGTACCTTACCCAGTGTGTGCTGAGGTGAGGACTGCAGGCTCACCACAGTTCCTACAAAACATCAGGGCCGTTGCAGCCTATTTTCACAGCTATCCAGGGCGCTGTGCTCAGAAGGAAGAGATCACAGTATCACAGAACAGTTGAGGTTGGAGGGGGACCTCTGCAGTCTGTCCGGTCCAATTCCTCTGCTCAGTCAGGGCTGCCCAAAGCTTGTCTCCCAGGACCGTGTCCAGATGGCTTTTGAATAGCTCCAAGGGTGGAGACTAGAGTTAAGTATGTTTCTTCGATTTTTTTTTTTTTTTTTTTTTTTTTTT